GCGAACAAACTGTCCCCTCGTGTTGCTCCTTGCGTCTTCCTTGGCTTCCCCCCTGACGCGCTAGGGTGGCAGTTCTACCACCCCACCTCTCGTCGTGTTCTGTCCTCCCAAGACGTCACGTTTGACGAGTCGGTCCCCTACTACCGCCTCTTCCCCTACCGCACTCCTTCCCTCCCCCCGCCACCGCTCTTCCTTTTGCTAGGTCCCCCCCCGGTAGACCCCCTCCCCCCTCAGGGTCCTGCCCCTTCAGGTGTGTCCCAGGTAGACGCAGTCGAGCCTGTCGAGGTTACTGGTGACTCTGGTGCTGCTGCTGGTGCTGAGCCTGGGGGTGCTGAGACTGGGGGTGTTGGGCCTGGGGGTGGTACGCCTGGGGGTGCTGAGCCTGGGGGTGCTACGCCTGGGGGTGCTGAGCCTGGGGGTGCCACGTCTGGAGCTGCTGAGCCTGGGGGTGCGGAGCCGACGGCCGCTGGGCCTGCTTGTGTGGCGTCTGGCGGTGCTGGGCCTGGAGGTACTCCGGGTGCTTCGTCTCGGCGGGAGCCACTCTCTTCACAGGAGCTGCGCGAGTGGTTTGCCCGGCGCTGGAGGCGTTTTGCTGGTGCTGGTGCTTCTTCGGCTGCTGAGGGTGCCGGTGCCGCCGGTCCCGGAGGTGCTCGTACTGGGAGTGCTGGAGCTGCTGGGCCTGCGGGTACGACTGGAGCTGGAACTACTGAGGGTGTTGGCGCTGAGGCTACTGCTGTCAGTCCTGGCGGCTGTTCTGCTGAGGGTGCTGCTGGTGCTGCTGGAGGTACTGCAGCTGGAGGTACTGTTGGCGCTGGTGCTGCCGCTGGGGGTGCTGGTGCTGTCCCTGCTGTGTCTGGAGTCGCCGCGCGGCCTCGGCTGTACTTCGTTCTGCTTCTTCAATGGGTTCTTGGTCTCTCGCCTTCTACTAGTCCTCCTCCTCCCTTAGAGTGTCCACCGCCTGACCCGTCACAGCTACAGTTACTGCCGGCCTCCCCACTGCCTGCTCCGTCTCCCTACACTGGTCCTACTGGAGGTCTTGCTGAGCGTCGTGAGCCTGCGTCTCGCCCTGCGTCGCCTGTCCGTCCTGCTCGCACTAGTGGTCGCAGTTCGCGTCAGCGTCCTCCTCCTGTCCCTGGCATGCACCAAATGTCTCTGCGTCCGTCCACTGCTCCTCTGCGTGCCCCTTTGCCTTCTCCTCCTGAGTCTTCTCTTCCTGCTCTTGCCGACCCGGAGTCGGACTCTCTTCGTGCTGCCAGTCCTACTGTCACGCGTCTCCTTGCTACTGTCGTCACTGACCCTTCTTTTGAGTCCACTGCTGCGTGTGCCCTAGTTGCTGAGCTCGTCGACTTTGCTGCTCGCTGTCGTCTAGACTACGCTGCTAGTCTTGTCGCTGAGTCTGAGTCTGTCTGTCCTCCGTCCGTCGGGGGTGAGTGTGCCCTTGGCACGGACGTCCTTGAGGAGAGGCAGGAGGAGTTCCAGTGTCTGGCTGCTGCTTCACCTCATCTCGTGTCCGTACTGCTTACCCCTGAGGGAGACCCGGATGCACTTGACATCCCGACTCCGCGCTCTTACGCGGAGGCCGTAGAGGGTCCCTATTCCTCTCAGTGGCAGGCAGCTATGGATGCAGAGATGGCTTCCTGTAATTCCACAGGCACCTACGTTGACGCGGTTCCCCCACCTGGGGCGAACATCGTCAGTGGCATGTGGATCTTCAAGGTGAAGCGGCCGCCAGGTTCTCCACCTGTCTTCAAGGCGCGGTACGTGGCTCGTGGCTTCACTCAGCGGCAGGGAGTTGATTACTTTCAGACCTTCTCTCCCACCCCGAAGATGACCACTCTTCGGGTGTTGCTGCACATAGCCGCTCAGCGCAACTACGAGCTTCACTCTCTTGACTTCAGCACTGCTTTCTTGTAGGGTAGCCTGCACGAGGAGATCTGGCCGCGCCGCCCACCTGGCTTCACTGGGACTTTTCCTCCTGGCACCCAGTGGAGCCTCCGGCGGCCAGTCTACGGTCTCCGCCAGGCACCGCGGGAGTGGCACGACACACTGAGGACTACGCTTGCGGCTCTCGGGTTTGCTCCCTCTACTGCCGACCCGTCGCTGTTTCTGCGCACCGACACCTCTTTGCCGCCGTTCTACATCCTCGTGTACGTCGACGACTTGGTCTTTGCCACAGGTGACACTGCTGGACTCGCCCACGTGAAGACGGAGCTGCAGAAGAGACACACGTGCACAGACCTGGGTGAACTGACAAGCTATTTTTGCTTGCGGATCACCCGGGACAGAGCACGCCGCACCATCACCTTGACTCAGTCACACATGGTGCAGCAGGTCCTTCAGCGCTTCCGCTTCACTTACTCCTCGCCTCAGCCCACTCCTCTGCCTACCGGTCACTCGCTCTCAGCTCTGCCTTCGGATGAGTCCGTAGAGCCGAGTGGCCCGTATCCAGAGCTTGTGGGTTGCCTCATGTACCTGATGACCTGCACTCGACCTGACCTTGCATACCCTCTTAGCATTCTTGCACGCTATGTCGCTCCCGGCCGTCACTGGAAGGAGCACATGGATGCAGCGAAGAGGGTGTTGTGCTACTTGTGCAGTACGTCGGGCATGGGGCTAGTGCTTGGAGGGCAGAGTCAAGTGGTCCTCACTGGGCACGCATATGCTTCTTGGGATGACGACCAGGCTACACAGCCGTCGTCACAGGGTTACACCTTCAGCCTTGGTTCCGACTCTGTTTCGTGGAGGGCTACTCGCTCGTCTTCCGTTCTCGGCTCCAGCTGTGAGGCTGAGATCTACGTAGGAGCCATGGCTGCTCAGGAGCTTCGCTGGCTCACCTACCTGCTGACTGACCTCGGAGAGCCGCCTCGTTCTCCTCCAGTGCTGTACGTAGACAACAAGGCCATGCTGGCCTTGTGTCGTGAGCAGCGCCTGGAGCACAGAACGAAGCACATTGCTCTCCGCTACTTTCTTGCTCGTGAGCTGCAGCAGCGCGGTCAGTTGCGACTTGCGTACGTGGCCTCCGAGGCCAACACTGCTGATATCTTCACTAAGGCACTTGCGCCTTGTGATCATCAGCGCTTCTGTACTCAGCTTGGTCTTGTGCCTGCCTTGCCTCACTTGCTCACTTCTTGACCTTGCTTGTACTGTTACATATATATACTCCTGTTCTTGCTTGTTTAGCCTTTTTTATATATATGTGCTCCTGCATGTGGACTGGCCTTCTGGCCTTGAACTTGTGCTCGGAATGTGTGGTGACTTTGTGATCCACCCTGAGCTTTGCTTTGTTCTGCTTGACTGGTCTTGTGACCCCTTGTTCTCCCCCACTTTGCCTATGGGGGTGTGTCAAATCATAATGTTCTGTAGGCTGAAGTTGGGTAGCCCATATGGGGTACACATTTCTAGGGTTGCATATTTGTACCACATTCCATTCCTTAGTGCACCATTCTCGTTTCAGTTTTCTCAGAACGAGAGGACGTTGAGCGTAGCCATGGCTGCAGCGCAAGGCACAGTTAGGCAGAGGCGGTGCTCGGACACCAGAGGCAGCGCGCGGGCAGTAGAGGCGGCGCGCTGGCAGGCAGAGGTGTCGCGCGGGCGGCAATGGCAGGGCGCAAGCCGCAAGGGCTGCAAACGGGCGGCGTGCGGGCCGGCAGAGGCTGCGCGTTGGCGGGCAAAGGCGGCGCACTAGCCGGCAGTAGCTGCTCGCGGGCCCGCAAAGCTGGGCGCGGGCGGGCAAAGGCGGCTCGCAGGCCGGCAGAGGCTACGCGCGAGCGGGCAAAGGCGGCGCGAGCGGGCAAAGGCGGCGCGAGGGCCGGCAGGGGCTGCGCGCGGGCGGGCAAAGGCGGCGCAAGGGCCGACAGGGGCTGCGCGCGGACGGGCAAAGGCGGCGCGCGGGCCTGCAGAGGCTACGCGCGGGCGGTGCGGGCTGCAAACGGGCAGCGCGCGGGCCTGCAAAGACAGCGCGCGGGCAGGCAGAGGCAGGGCGCGGGCCGCGCGGGCTGCAGGCGGCGGCACAACAAAGGGCAAGGCAGGGCAGGGCGCGCACGGGCAGCACGACGCAGGGCAGGGCGTGAGGCAGCACGGTAACCGCAATTGATGGTGGGCCCGGAAAAAAAAGGACGGTCCTACGGACCTACTGCTCTTAATAACATGTTGAAATCTATCAGGCAGGAATGGGTTCACTAGTGAGGAAAGAAAGTACAAGTACCAAACCCTAAAAGTGTTGTACTCTATATGTGCTACCCCACTACAGCCTACACACATATGAATCAGTTTTGACAGGATTCGCCCGCGACGAGGCGCGGTAGTGGAAGGCATGACTAAGGCGGCGACGTGTGGCGATTATATAACTACATCCTTATGTGTCCTCTCCTCTCCTCCCTGCCCTCCGTTCCCTCTGTCCCTGCGTCCGCCGCGCGTGCGATGATATGCTTGCCGAATGACGGCACAACTTTTAGACAGAGGCTTCAATTCGCTGGCTGATGAGGTGAAGGCGATATGCTGATCGCACTAAACCGGTGGCCTCCGCCGCCGATCTCATTATGAGCAGAGCAGGAACCGAAGAATGGAATTCCAGATTTCGTTGTGAGTTAAATTCGAGTCTGCTTTAGGAGAGTTGGAGGGGAGTTGCGGAGGACCACAGCAGCAGCCATAGCTAGACCCTGGGCGGTTGAAGCTCCTTGCTCTACCATCTTCACGGGCGGATGAGAGAAATCGACACCACCTCTGTGGTGTCAAACCTACGGGAAGAAATGAGTGGATGCTTCAAGACGCATGCCCAGAATGATACTCTGCTGGAAGACTGGTGGAACACCATAACTAAGCTCATGCTGTGTAGTGCAAGCAAACGCTGAGTCACGTTCTTCGTTGGCTAAATCCCGTTAAATTGTCCAATCTCAAGATCCCAAACATAGAATGCCTAAAACTTTAAAATGTACTTCTAGCCTAGTGCAGGATTTGGACTGGAGCGCACAAACTTGTGAAGGACAGCATGGGAGAGGCAACTACTCTGTATAGACAAATTGACGTTTCCAAATGTGGTCTCTTCTCTTGTTCCAGATCTTCGGAAGATACAGCTTGTCTGAGGGTGACCTATCAGGCTTCACGATCTGCCAGTGTGAAAAATTCACGTGATTGTTATACCGGTACCTCACTTTAACCTTCAACGCAATCGGACTGATGCGGCAAAGGGCAACACTCACCAGTTTGCAATACTCGAACAGTCCGAAAAACACAGCAGACATCATCGACACATGGAAGACACGAGGGCCCTGCACAGAAAGCACAAGTGTCAGTTCATCCATGTGTGGAGAAATGACAGAGTCCAGCATATTCCTTGTGCACTTACCAGTCCTGCCAACAGCCCAGATGGTCCACTTTCAGCCATTACAGCCATAACAATTTTGTGAATGCCCTGTGAGACGCCACACTGTTGCCGGGTCTTCACAAGGTCAAGCTGAACATCGCAACCACGTTTAGCAACATGAGTTACCGCACAAAGTACATATGCACAAAAGGTGCTTGCTTAGAAAATAATAATAATAATAATAATAATAATAATAAAACAATAACTCACAGGCATTGTGCATGTTGCAGCAGCTGCTCCTGCAACTGCTCCAAGCAACAGATGCTCTGGGGTTCTGCTCAGGGGAAAAAAAAAAGTGAGCTTGTTTCGAAGACAATGGCTGTTGCTGGTGTCACACGAAGGGCATGAATACTCACGTCAGCTTTTCAACCTTCCTCTTCTCCTTCACAAACGCTCGAAGATTCTCATAGACGGCAAACTGCAACAGAAGCAGACAACAGATGGCATGTACTCGGTAAGACATGAATCATGCCATCTAGCAAGACTTGCTTTCTAGAAATCGAATGGCAATGTACCTGAATGGCAATTTCAGGAACATCTCGCATAAGAGTAGGCCAAAAGCCTCTGTATAGCCCAGCTATTCCCTCAGTCTGAAGGACGACCTTGAGGGCCTCAAACACTGAACATTACAGAATATATGAGTATATGCAGTATATTCAATGAACAAACAAGAAACAGTTTACAACTAGAATGAAAAAACTCTACAAGGAGAGCAGGATAAGCCATCTCACCATCTCGGTGCAAGTAGGCTTGTACTCGGTGCTTCAGCGTGTCAGCAGGAACCTGCAACAGCGGCTCGTAATGCCCGGCTTCATGTCAGTCAATTCGAGCCTTCAAATTAGCAAGGAATGTTGTTACGATATTGAGTCAGGCTTTGTGACTCACCCGGACAATTGATGCTGCAACTGTCCCAACTGTGGCAGAAGCGACGTGCACCGGTCCCGGCGGAAGTCTCTTTTCCAACTTTTTCTTGGTGGCTGTAAACACAACACGGTGCTTTTGTGAAACCCCAGATATCCTAGTAAACCATAAGTTGTGAAACATTTATTCACTTACCTTCGTACGCAATGAAGTAAAGCATCGCATTGGGAATGGTTCCCAGAATCGCACCCCACACTCCACGAAAAAGATCCGACGGGCCCTTGATTAACCAATTATCAATGTCGATTGGCCCGACTTCAAAAGCCTTCTTTACTACCTTCCGTCTCCATTTCCGTAACTTCTTCGTGGGGTCCTTTACTTGCATTCTGGTCTTAACTGTGTCAATCGGATGACAGAGGACCTAGCAAAACACAATTCCAAAACCAACCTGTAAGAAGGATGCCACATGGATCATAACCCGATCAACCAGACCACCCACACACACCTGAGATAACGTCCTAGCCATCGTCCCAGCGTAGACATGATTTATGGCTGTGATTGCTCCAACTGGATCGTCGTCGAAGAATGGAAGCTTAAAGGCAGGAAGCGCAGGGAGCTGAATCCTCGATACGGCTCCTTGAATGCTCTCTCCTACAACTCGGATACGAAGAGCCAACTGATTCTCGCCCACTTCTTGCTCGACTGCTTGATTTTTTATTGAAGCGAATGATATCTTAGCCTGCCTGAAACGAGACGCTACTGGCAATGGAACACGGTGTGGTGATGGACATGAGAAGGAGATAGCTCCTGATACCTCTGGATGCTCATGCAGGACAAGACTTCTGTCAGATCCGGCATTCTTGTCAGGCGTCGACACCATCACTAAATGCTATGTCTAAGTTCCAGAGAAACGGGACAATCAAGTCCCCGCAAAGACAGCTGACAACGTCGAATCGCGATCAGAGTGGTGAAAGCATCATTTCAGATCACACGGCACTGATAACATCAACTACAAAAATGCGTTCTCCATGAAAGGCAGAAAAGAGGACGAGTTGAGGCCCAGAACACCACGCATTAAGGACTAACTTGTATACGGTAGTACGTCCAGACCAGTACAAACTTCTATGCACCAACGAAAATGGCAGGAACCATTGACACTCACGCTGAAAGAAAGGATAATGGAAGGCTGGACAGCACCAACGGTCAACTGGTTAGGGCGTATCTTTGGTTCGGGTCATAAGGCTACTTCGGGTCATACGCGTTTTCCGCATGACCCGAACAGCACAAAACGCTACCTATTCCGCGCTTCAGAAGGCCACTTTGGGTCATGCGCGATTTTCACATGACCCGAACAGTACGATGAGCAGTGCCGTGACCCGAACCAAAGATACGCCCTTAGCAATGCTATGACCAGACAGTTGACATGTGCATGGAAATGAACCGCACTGAACCAGGCAGAAGTGCTCACATTTCACGATCGCAGAGCAGACTGCTGGTGAGGTGGAAGCGTACGAAAACATATGAGGAGCAGAACCGTACCATACCGAGCCGAAACACAGAGCCGCACATCTCCCTGAAACCTGACCAGGAATTTTCTAGGCTTATGGTTCGGAGTTGCCTGCTGGACTATAACGCTGTCCACGTGGTCTTTCTTCAACGTCAACATTCACTTTTCTGGCACTTCAGAAGGCTCGATTCCCTCTTGAGCTGGCCAGATTCGAATCACAAGATTCCGCCACCGGCTCCACCTCACTTTTCCTGCAGCTCTGGAGATCAGAAGATTCAAAGGGAATGTCCGAACATGTTACATGAGCAGAATGAATATATGAAAAAAACTATCTATATTTAGGTATGCAACCTAGGTTTGTGAGCACTCTTTCAGCAAAGACAGGATACCGAATCTAGTTATTGCTACGAGAATCCAGCTCATACAAAGTAACTGTCATTATCAATCTGCTATCACGTGCATGTAGACACTTCCCTCAGTGGTTGATCTTTTGACGAAGAAAAGAAAAGAAAAGAGAAAGGGAGAAGGAAAGTGAAAGAGAAGGAAAGACAGGATACCGGTAGTAGGGACTGATTTACTATTCATTCGCCAGTGCTTGCAAAAAAGGGCAACCCAACGGTACCTTTCGTACAGCCGTCACACTAACCCTGCGCAAGAGCGATGATTAGGAGGGGACGTGTTCTTGTTGCATAAAACGTACCGTAGTACTAATGTAAACTGTTGCGATCAGAAGTTGATCGTTCTCAGGTGAGAAAATGAACGAGAATGAATTGAATAAGGGAAAATTGGGTACAAGTACAAACCCTAGAAAGTCGTACCCCATATGTGCTACCCCACTATAGCCTACAACAGCTATGTCATATAAATCTGACACACCCCCATAGGCAAAGTGGGGGAGAACAAGGGGTCACAAGGCCAGTCAAGCAAAGCAAAGCAAGCTCATGGTGGATCACAAAGTCACCACACATTTCGAGCAGAAGTTCAAGGCCACAAGGCCAATTCACATATAGGATTACATATATATATAAGGCTAGACAAGCAAGAGCAGGTGTATATATATATATGTAACAGCACAAACAAGGTCAAGGGGTGAGCAAGTGAGGCAAGGCAGGCACAAGACCCAGCTGAGTACAGAAGCGCTGATGATCACAAGGCGCAAGCGCCTTGGTGAAGATATCAGCAGTGTTGGCCTAAGAGGCCACGTACGCAAGGCGCAGCTGACCACGCTGCTGCAGCTCACGAGCAAGGAAGTAGCGAAGGGCAATGTGCTTCGTTCTGTGCTCCAGTCTCTGCTCCCGACACAAGGCTAGCATGGCCTTGTTGTCTACATACAGCACTGGAGGAGAACGAGGCGGCTCTCCGAGGTCAGTCAGCAGGTAGGTGAGCCAGCGAAGCTCCTGTGCAGCCATGGCTCCTGCGTAGATCTCAGCCTCACAACTGGAGCCGAGAACAGAAGACGAGCGGGTAGCCCGCCACGAAACAGAGCCGGAACCAAGGCTGAAGGTGTAACCCTGTGACGACCACTGCGTAGCCTGGTCGTCAGCCCAAGAAGCGCCTGCGTGCCCAGTGAGGACCACTGGACTCTGCCCTCCAAGCACAAGCCCCATGCCCGACGTACTGCACAAGTAGCGCGACAACCTCTTCGCTGCAGCCATGTGCTCTGGTCTGTGTCTCCCAGGAGCCACATAGCGTGCGAGAATGCTAAGAGGGTATGCAAGGTCAGGTCGTGTGCAGGTCATCAGGTATATGAGGCAGCCAAAAAGCTCTGGGTACGGGCCACTCGACTCTACGGACTCATCCGAAGGCAGAGCTGAGAGCGAGTGGCGAGTAGGCAGAGGAGTGGCCTGAGGCGAGGAGTACGTGAAGCCGAAGCGCTGAAGGACCTGCTGCACCATGTGTGATTAAGTCAGGGTAATGGTGCGGCGTGCTCTGTCCCGGGTGATCTGCAGGCCAAGGTAGCTGCGCAGTTCACCCAGGTCTGTGCACGTGTGTCTCTTCTGCAGCTCGGACTTCACGTGGGCGAGTCCAGCAGTGTCAGCTGTGGCAAAGACCAAGTCGTCGACGTATACGAGGATGTAGAACGGCGGCAAAGAGGTGTCGGTGCGCAGAAACAGCGACGGGCCGGCAATAGAGGGAGCAAACCCAAGAGCCGCAAGTGTAGTCCTTAGTGTGTCGTGCCACTCACGCGGTGCCTGGCGGAGACCGTAGACTGGCCGCCGGAGGCTCCACTGGGTGCCAGGAGGAAAAGACCCAGCGAAGCCAGGTGGGCGACGCAGCCAGATCTCCTCGTGCAGGCTGCCCTGCAAGAAAGCAGTGCTGAAATCAAGAGAGTGCAGCTCGTAGTCACGGTGAGCAGCTATGTGCAGCAGTACCCGAAGAATGGTCATCTTCGGGGTGGGAGAGAAGGTCTGAAAGTAGTCAACTCCCTGCCGCTGACTGAAGCCACGAGCCACGTAACGTGCCTTGAAGACAGGCGGAGAACCTGGCGGTTGCTTCACCCTGAAAATCCACATGCCACTGACGATGTTCGCCCCAGGCGGAGGAACCTCGTGAACGTAGGTGCCTGTGGACTTCCAGGAAGCCATCTCTGTGTCCATAGATGCCTGCCACTGAGAGGAGTAGGGACCCTCTATCGCCTCCGCGTAAGAGCGCGGAGTCGGGATGTCAAATGCATCCGGGTCTCCCTCAGGGGTAAGCAGTACGGACACGAGATGAGGTGAAGCAGCAGCCAAACACTGGAACTCCTCCTGCCTGTCCTCAAGGACGTGCGTGCCAAGGGCACACTCACCCCCGACGGACGGAGGACAGACAGACTCAGACTCAGCGACAAGACTAGCAGCGTAGTCTAGACGACAGCGAGCAGAAAAGTCGACGAGCTCAGCAACTAGGGGAGACGCAGCAGCGGACTCAAAGGAAGGGTCAGTGACGACAGTAGCAAGGAGACGCGTGACAGTAGGACTGGCAGCATGAAGAGAGTCCGACTCCGGGTCGGCAAGAGCAGCAAGAGAGGAGTCAGGAGGAGAAGGCAAAGGGGCACGCAGAGGAGCAGTGGACAGACGCAGAGACATCCGGTGCGTGCCAGGGACAGGAGGAGGACGCTGACGCGAACCACGACCACTAGTGCGAGCAGGACGGACAGGCGACGCAGGGCGAGACGCAGGCTCACGACGCTCAGCAAGACCTCCAGCAGGCAGTGGGGAGGCCGGCTGTAACTGGAACTGTGACGGGACAGGCTGTGGACAATCTAAGGGAGGAGGAGGACCAGTAGAAGGCGGAAGACCAAGAACCTGCTGAAGGAGCGGAACGAAGTACGGCCGAGGCCGCGCGGCGACTCCAGACATTGTAGGGACAGCACCAGTACCCCTAGTGGTAGCACCAGCGCCAGCAGCACCTCGAGCTCCAGCACCCCCAGCAGCTCCAGTAGCTCCAGGACCTCCAGCAGCACTAGTAGAACCCCCAGCAGGACCGCCTCCAGGAACGACAGCAGTAGCCTCAGCGCCAACACCCTCTGCAACTCCAGCTCCTGTCGTACCCTTAGGCCCAGCAGCTCCGGTACTCCCAGTACGAGCACCTCCGGGACCCGCGACACCAGCACCCTCATTAGCCAAAGAACCTCCAGCTCTAGCAGCGCGCCTCCAGCGCCGGGCAAACCACTCGCGCAGCTCCTGTGGAGAGAGTGGCTCCCGCAGAGACGAAGCACCCGGAGAACCTCCACGCACAGTACCGCCAGACGCGACACGAGCAGGCCCAGCTCCCTCAGGCTCCGCACCTCCAGGCGTAGCACCCCCAGGCTCAGCACCCCCAGTCGTAGCACCCCCAGGCTTAGCACCCCCAGGCGTAGCACCCCCAGGCTCAGCACCCCCAGGCTCAGAACCCCCGATAGTAGCACCCTCAGGCTCAGCACCCCAAGGCGTAGCACCCACACGCTCAGCACCCCTAGAGTCAGCACCCCCAGGCTCAGCACCCTCAGCAGCACTAGAGTCACCAGCAACCTCGACAGGCTCGACTGCGTCAACCTGGGACACACCTGACGTGGCAGGACCCTGAGGGGGGAGGGGGTCTACCGGGGGGGGACCTGGCACAAGGAAGAGCGGTGGCGGGGGGAGGGACGGAGTGCGGTAGGGGAAGAGGCGGTAGTAGTGGACCGACTCGTCAAACGTGACGTCCTGGGAGGACAGAACACGGCGAGAGGTGGGGTGGTAGAACTGCCACCCTGGCGCGTCAGGGGGGAAGCCAAGGAAGACGCAAGGAGCAGCACGAGGGGACAGCTTGTCCGCAGACAAGTCGCGGACAAACGCCCGAGATCCCCAGACACGGAACGCAGACGCATCGCCAACCTTCCCCGTCCACA